ATTCCTGTCCCTCCAGGGCAAATTTAGGGTGAATTTCTGTCCCTCTGGTGCAAATCTGGAGTGAATTTCTGTGTTTGGGGTGAATTCCTGTCCCTGAGGGGCAAATTTGGGGTGAATTCTGTGATTGGGGTGAATTCCCGTGTTTGGGGTGAATTCCTGTGTTTGGGGTAAATTCCTGTCCCTCCGGGATAAATTTGGGGTGAATTTCTGTGTTTGGGGTGAATTCCTGTCCCTCTGGGGCAAATCTGGGTTGAATTTCTGTCCCTCTGGTGCAAATTTGGGGTTAATTCCTGTGTTTGGGGTGAATTTCTGTGTTTGGGGTGAATTCCTGTCTCTCTGGGGTAAATCTGGGGTGAATTCTGTGTTTGGGGTGAATTCCTATCCCTGAGGGGCAAATTTGGGGTGAATTCTGTGTTTGGGGTGAATTCCTGTCCCTCTGGTGCAAATCTGGGGTGAATTTCTGTCCCTGAGGGGCAAATTTGGGGTGAATTCCTGTGTTTGGGGTGAATTTCTGTCCCTCTGGGGCGAATTTGGGGTGAATTCTGTGTTTGGGGTGAATTCCTCTCCCTCTGGGGCAAATCTGGGTTGAATTTCTGTCCCTCCAAAGCAAATTTGGGGTGAATTTCTGTCCCTCCAGGGCAAATTTAGGGTGAATTCCTGTGTTTGGGGTGAATTCCTGTCCCTCTGGGGTAAATCTGGGGTGAATTCTCTGTTTGGGGTGAATTCCTGTCCCTTTGGGGTGAATTTCTGTCCCTCCGGGGCAAATCTGGGGTGAATTCCTGTGTTTAGGGTGAATTTCTGTCCCTTTGGGGTGAATTCCTGTGTTTGGGGTGAATTCCCGTCCTTCTGGGGCAAATCTGGGGTGAATTCCTGTCCCTCTGGATCCCCAATCCCGTGGGTTGGGGTTGGGGTTTCCAGGCCATCGATCCCGGGGCGTTCCCGGTGGATGCTGTGGAGATGGATGGGGCTGCCAGCGGCACCGAGCGGGCACAAATCAGCGGAATTCCATTGGGAATTGCACAGAACGGGCACAAATCAGCCAAAATTCCACTGGGAATTGCACAGAGCGGGCACAAATCAGCCAAAATTCCATTGGGAATTGCACAGAGCGGGCACAAATCAGCCGGAATTCCATTGGGAATTGCACAGAGCGGGCACAAATCAGCCAAAATTCCATTGGGAATTGCACAGAACAGGCACAAATCAGCCAAAATTCCATTGGGAATTGCACAGAGCGGGCACAAATCAGCGGAATTCCAGTGGGAATTGCACAGAACAGGGAGAAACCAGGGGAGAAACCAGCCCAGCTCCTTTGGAACAGCAACCCCAGATCGTTTAAAACCCAAATCCAGGGTATAAACAAAATTCAGGTTTAAACCCAAATCCAGTTTTAAACACAACCCTGGATCCTTTCAAACAAGATTCCCAATCCTTTTAAACAC